CATTAAGAGAATTGATAGTGTTAATGCATTATCTTTTTTCATATTTAAAGATGAGAATAGTAGGACTATAGGACACAAATATAAATTTTTGGCAGTGTAGAAGTCATTGTCAGCTAAGACAGTTATATTTACCTAATAAGATGGTTAGCCTTTGGAAAGGGGTGCTTTCAGATGTTGTGGATACAGTGAATTTTAGAGAAAGCTTGATTAGGTGTATGAATGATAAGGGCTGGCTTTAAGATTTTTTTTTTAAATTATTTTAATTTAGTTTAGAGGATGGGGAGGCTTGATAAATATTTGAATGATGAGGGCTGACTTTCAGTTGTTGTTTTTTTTAAAACTTAGTTTAGTAAATGGGATGGGCTAGATGGACAAAAAAGTCACTTGTTTCCTTAAGTTTTATGTTTATATCGACACACTAACACTCACTTTTTTAAATGGGTTCTAGTTATCAACAGTTGGAAAGGCCAGTGGTGAAGGGGTCTAACATTGGCACAAAGATTTTAAATTCATAAACCTTTCATAACAGATCAGGAATTGTAATTAAGGGAACAAGAAAATTATCATTATTATTATTTTAAAAACTGAAATGGATAATAAATGTTTCCAAAACATTTTCTAAGCCAAATTTTGCTTTTAAGGCTTACCTCAATCACTAAGGACTCCCCTTTGTACTGTTTAATTCCATCATTCTTGAATCGAAGGAATTGAGGGTTTGGGACGTAAGTCATGTCTGAATGAAGTGTTGGAAAATGTTCCTGTAGATTCAGTAGGCTTTTAACATCATCCATTAAAAAACTTAATCTGTATTTAAGCTGGTCAATGGGTTTGAGAGTGCTCACACCTTCATTATTAAGGAAATTCTCATTCTCAATTTTTATGGTTGGAGATGGACAAATCATCTGATTTGGACTACGAACAGTACATAGCTGAAATGACCAAATTAAACTTTTATGGAAAAAAAACAATATAGCAGCACAAAAGTTATGAGCAATCAATAATATTCAAAATGCTAAATATAAACATATGAAACAATCAAAACTAAACAGCTACAAACAATGTTAACTTACTGTTGTGTAGTCTGTTGATGTCTAAATCTTGATGTTTAGACTACTACGGTACTGTCTACATGTGTGTGTGTGTGTGTGTGTGTGTGTATGTGTGTAAAGATACAGTAAAGCCAACAATGTACTAGTCTTAATTTCAAAATTCAATTCATTAAACAATAATATATTTATTTAACTTTTCATCACATAATTCATATTTCTCAACTTATCTTATTCTGTATACTATACACCAAAACTTTAAAAATTATCTAGACAGTAGTGAATTTTAATCTTTGCTCTACTTAGTTTCATCCTTATTCAAGTTCAACTGAATTATGGGATTCCTCTTCCATGAGGTAAATCACCTGACAGTTAACAAGTAAAAACTGATTTCAAGTCAGCTAAATGTAGGAGTCTGTGATATAAAAATTATAGAAATTCATTTATTGTTTTAAATGATGAACACAAATAACCCACACTGGGTTTGAATTAAATATCTTCCTATCTGCATGAATAGATGTAATGACATACCGTCTTATTGAGAAACGTTTTATTTTTGAATACAGCCATCCATGGCCGTTGTATAGATGATAAGTATGTTCCATCTACCATGATGCTTCGTCCACCACTAAAACACAAAACAAAGTTATGGATTAGCAAAGTTCACAAAATATTAAATATTGTTGTGTCAGCGAGTCACATGACCACCGTGACGCAACGTTTCTAGAACTATCATGTACTTTGGCGAATGTTCAAGTTCTTACTAGAAATAGGGTACGCTGGTATATATAA